GAATTTACTTGCGGACAAACTGATACTAGCGGGGACAGAAAAAACCACGACTTACTGTGAAATAAGTCTTCTGCCTACCACGATGCCCGCCTGACATCGCATCGTGACATTCGAACATGATGCGTAAACGCAAATTATCATGATCGGGAACGACGACACGAGAGGTGTCGTCAGAAACTGCTGTATAATACAGCAGACCATTGCGGGTCATGTACCGATCCAATGAAGAGCGGTATAAGGCAGGCAAATCCGACAAGGATTTGCGGGTTGGGTTTGCACGATGACTTATCAATCGCAGAAGATCATTATCTTATGAGTATGCCTTCCGCACGTCATCAAGTAAGGGCGATGACGTAACACTGACTGACAGTGCCGCAACAGTGGATAAGGTCTCACTATTGACTGGTGTAGTCGGCTCGAAATCGGACCGACGTGATAACGCATCAGCGACGACGTTGCGTCGCCCTGCTTTGTATTCCACGTAGTTGTTATACTCCGCGAAGAAAGACAGCCACCTCGCCATTCGTTGCGAGAGGTGGCGACTGTTTAAGGCCGTGCGCACTGACGCATGGTCCGTATATACGATGAACGGTCTATCTCCCAAGAGATAGACGCGGAACTTAGCCAGTGCGTACTTCATGGCAAGGCGTTCCTTGTCATGCCCTGGATAATTGCGTTCAACTGCTTGAAGCTGACGCTATTGACAGCAGACAACGCGCTCTGCGTCGTCTATGTTGTATTGCATCAACGCACAGCCGATAGCAAAATCGCTGGCGTCACAGACCACATGAAAAGGTCTGTCCTGATCTGCAATCGACAAGATGGGCGATTGCATAAAGCTTTGCTTTATACCCTCACAGGAACGCTGACAGTCAGCGTTCCGTGACCACTTCACATATTTCTTGAGCAAGCAAGAAAGATGAACAGTCATCTTGGCGTAATTGCGCGAATACTTGTGCAAGTACGCCGATAAGCCAAGAAACTTTTGCAGTCCCTTGATATCAACTGGCACTGGCCAGTCGGTGATCGCCTTGACATTTTCGGGATCAGGGCGTACGCCGTGTTTGCCGACGATGCACCCAAGAAGTGGTATTTCGCTAGCCGCGAAGATACACTTCTTGAGATTGACATAAAACTTATGCTTGCGCATAAGTTGAAGAACCTGACGAATATGAGTTTTATGAACCTCAATATCCGTCTTTCCGTCCATAACTCGGCTATGGACGAACACATCGTCGAATTAACTCGGTGATAAATCCGCACCGGTTTCAACAGATTTGTAACACATCTGTTGAATGTTGCAGGGGCATTTCTCAGCCCTTGTGGCGTCGCTATCCACTCCCACAGCATCCCGCTGGGAGTGCTCACTGCTGTGTACGGTATATCTCGTTCACGCATGAGGACCTGATAGAAGCCATTCATCCGATCCATGGACGAAAAGATGGTACTCTTTGACATACCATCTATGGTGACGTCCTTCCTCGGTATCGGGGTCAGAGCCGGTACCGTTGCAGTAATTAACTTTTTGAATGCATCCACTATCCGCCATCCTCCTGTGGCCTTTCGCACACAGAAGGTCGGAGAGCTGTGAGGGGAAATTGATTCCCTCACATGGCCCGCTGCTAAGCGATCGGCAACGAACTTGTCGATCGCTAGAACTTGTCACGAGGCAGTGGCCACTGCTTCATGACACAGTACTTCGAGCCCGGTTTGAGCTCGATCTCGTGTCGAGTGCCTTTGTCCTTAAGAAAACTAGAATGGCACGGATCCAGGGAGTACATCCTTGAATTCGATCAAATCCTTATACAAAGGATAGGCCTGTAGCGACTCCCAGGATTGAGATTCATATCTCTTAATCCGAGTCTTCTCATCGAGGACACTTTCGTCCATTGATGAGCTGCTGAGACCCGTCTCAGTCTCAGCAAATACTGTGGCCGACCGAATATCGGCCACATACTAATCCTCTGTGACGAGTATGCAAATCTGCTTGACTTTGCCACTGCGCAGATCACGCAAGAACCGTTTCGGTTCTAGCGTTGGCAACTGAGTTATCTCCGATGTTAACTTCGGAGGCACATCCAGATCAAGCGTGTAAGAGCCTACGCTTGATCCGTCATTAACCAAGACATTCACTGTCTCGATTAATTCCTGGGAAGTCACCTCTACAGGGTCCAGGAGAGATTTCTTCACAATTTAATGATAATCTGCACTGTGTTCTTGCACAGTCGTGCTAACGACCGTACCTCAACTGAGGCCATCGCATTCGCTCGTAGTACACCCACGAAAATGTGGGCGTTCCAAGACATTCTTCAGATCGTGATCTGAGGAACAAGTAGCAGGTATCGTAACTGATCGACGCTGCCAGCTCACCCTTGGCTTGTATCTCCTGAGCCAAGGTAGTCCTAGAATGACATCCAACTTGACAACCAGGTCAAGTACGAAGAAGTCATCATTGCGCTTTTCGTCTTTCAACGTGTAGTGGATTCCGACTACACATTTCTTCACATTGATCGATGCGCCTATCTCGAAGCGGATCGTCATCTTGTTGGAGGGGTCTCCCGCTTCACGAAGTTGATACTTCCAGCCTCTAGTGACTGGCGACGAACAAAATTATTCGACACCCCACAGTCAAATTGGGCGCGAAGTGACAAGTCCTTTGTCACTTCTAACTTCAAGGCGATGAGTGATATCTTATCATCGGGTGCAGAGACACACAGTGACTGTATATCTGGAGCAACATTCGTCAAGAGATTTGTAAATTCTCTTGATGTTGCCGGATTACTAGGGCGCTCCGCCCCTACTGATCCCGCCATTTTTAAATGAACCGCTTCGCTGTTGCGGCTTTGCAATAGCATCAGACCCTCGTTCTCCAGTTCTTCCAACTGTTAGACGGTTTCTGCGCTCAGCACCCCGCAGTGCTGAGCGGGAGATACGCATTCGTATGCGTAGTGTCCCAGCTTATGACAGCGATGACATCACACCATCCGCTTGTCATACACAGGGCGAGATTTCTCGCTCTCGACATGACAGAGGTTCATTGGTTCTGGACCTCCGACCGCTGATCGTCTTTATAGACGTTAGGGTGTAAGAGTAGTGTGAGTCTGTCTCACACCAAAGTCTTCCTGCTCCGCAGCGTAGATCGCTTCGGAGAGCATCTTCAGCTCCTCGCGAAACAGGTGGTCCCTGACAGGACCATCTGCAAGACCTTGATGAATATTGTGATCTTCACAAATTCACTCACAGGCTTCACTACCGTGCAACTTGAAAAGTGCGTACATGCTGAGCGTAAGCGTGACCCTTACGCTTACCCTGTTTGATTACGATGAGTTCAGAGAGAGTCCTGAAATCTGCACTGGGAGGCTTAAACGTCTCACTGAGCAGGGTCTTGAAGATCCTCAACGACCCAAACACGTTCGGGTCGTGTAACTTGATATTCAGGGCCTCAATCCTGGCATCCCTTGCCAAGTAAGACTGAGCGAATGCGACTTGCATTCGCTTGTTGTCGATGCGACGGGCCCCGATGGCACCGTCGACCTCGACGAACCATCTTAACAGGGAGTCTACCTCGACTCCCGATACTTGGATATATCTAACTTTAGAGACTCCTGTCGACGCTCACGCGTCGAACTTGCAGACTGAGACTGATGCTGTCTCAGTTCTTTTGTCCTCTGGTGATCGTGTTGTTGCAACAAGATCACCTGCGCTCGCGACTCGTCAAGTTCTCGCTGCATGAACTTGCTGATGACGGAATGCTGCTGGTCTCTATCCCTTGTGGATAGCATGGCCCAGATAGCTTCCTCGCCAACGGTCGAACTCATTCGTTTGATCGCACGCCATTCGATATCGCTCAAATGGGAGTAGCTATAATGAGTTCCGTGAAATCTGTCGACTTCGACTTCGTCCAACATGTTCATGTTGGGCGACGCGAGTGTGGTCTTTGGACGGACTATAAAGTGCTACCGTGTGTAACGGGGCACTGGTGACTACGTACTGGTTGATCAGTACGGAGTTCACTTCCACTGACAACAGTGATAGTCAGTGTCCTGCTAAGTGTTGCACCAACACAGAAGAAGGAAAGGAGACTAGTGAACACGCCAGTCTCTGGTATAAATAAAACTGTTATTTAATATAACTAAGTCCTATCACTCTTATGCCTCTGTTTATCTTGACTTAATTATATTGATCTAACTAAGTGTGTGATGGCGTCTACTCACCACCCTTTGCGGCGTCTAGCAGCGATTGGTGGGTTGATATCATCACGATATCAACCAATGAGTAGACCCTTCGGTCATCTTCAACAATATCATCATGCTCTGTGATATTGTTGGAAGAACATTCAACGTAATAATCTTTATTGTCATTTTATCCTTAGTGACAATATCATGGAACGGGCTACCCCATTACACCATGCCGTATAAAAAGTTCGTTGCCAGCGAGGCCGCCTTTAATTAAAATTTACGGCGGCGCGGGTATGTCGGTATTGAATCACAACCGTTACATCACGCAATATATTGAGCGATAACCTGTGATGCAGTTGAGCATGATGTTCGTGTACAATGACACGAATTCGCGCGCCCGAAGGGTATTGATGACAGAAGATGCCATTTTCAGGTCATTTGGTCGTCCCCAAGCTTTGTGTTTCCAAGCGCCATCGCCTGACCAGACGCAACATGAGCAAATTGCCACTGGCAGCAAGTCGGCGACAACTGCAGAAGCGATTGCCGACTACCGACGGCTTGCATCGATAGGTCGACAGCAATCGACGCGACGATATTCAGGTGCTTTTGCACAACGGGAGTCAACGGAGCTGGATCCGGGAGGGAGAGTGTCGTTGAATCGGTATTTGGATTCGACGGACCGAGACAGTAATTTGTCGGTGGGGTACATTCGCGTGCGAGATTCGTTAGGAAGATTGGTATTGAACGACAGCGACGTCGTGGCAACGGATTTCCACTACCGGATTAAAAATCCTGGACGGCAAAGGGAGTTCCGAGCTCATTATGAATCTCGAGGGAGTTCACAATTTGCCATTCCCGGACAAAATCCGCTGGTTCTCGACGGAAATACATCGGCTGTGGCTACCTTGGGAATCTGGACATGCAGAGCTGGTAGTGCGACCCGATCATTTGTTGCAGGACTCGTTTGAGCTTGTAGGAGCGATGAAGGCGTATCAGTTGCGGCAGAGATGTCGCGTGATGTTTGACGGAAAACCGGCATTGGATGCAGGTGGAGTTATGCGCGAATGGTACACGCTGCTTTTCGCGGAGCTATCGATCCGACATTCGGTCTTTTTGTGAGAACAGTGGGAGACGAGCGAAGTTATTGGAGTAACGCGAGCTCGGACTTGCTAATTGGTGATGATCACTTGGCCTACTTTGAGTTCGCTGGTAGGCTCGTGGGTAAGGCGATTCTCGAGGAGCATTTAATGTCGGTGCATCTTGCGCTACCATTCCTCAAACATATTCTGGGCGTACCGATCTCTTTTTCCGACTTGCAATTCTTCGACGATGAGATCTACAATAGTGCTTTGATGGTGAAAAAGATCGATGATATTGAACCGTTGTGTCTGGACTTTATAGCCACTCGCGCTGTGGATGGCCGAGTAGAAATTGTAAAACTCGTCGAAGGCGGCGCCAGTATCGACGTGACACGAGAAAATCGCTTGCGCTACTTGGACGCTCTCTTCAAGTATCATGTGCTGGAAAGCGTGAGTGGCCAGCTGCTGTCGTTTCTTACGGCGCTATACGACGTGGTGCCTGTAAGCTTGCTCAAGGTGTTCGACTACCAGGAGCTGGAGTTGCTTATGTGCGGAGCGCCATCGATCAACGTCGAGGACTGGAAGAAACACACGGACTTCAAGTTATATTCACAAAACTTCCCCACGGAACTTGAGCTTAATAAGATTGAGTGGCTCTGGAAAGTCGTGGAAGAATTGACGAACGAAGACCGCGTTCGCTTGTTGCAGTTCACGACAGGCACGTGCCGTTTTCTAGCGCAGGGGTTCAAGGGATTGATTAGCAGCGACGGTCGCGTGAGACGTTTTAATGTTGCCTTCGCCGGCAGAGACCAGTCGTTCCTGGAACGGGGTAGCCCGTTCCATGATTTTGTCACTAAGGATAAAATGACAATAAAGATTATTACGTTGAATATTCTTCCAACAATATCACAGAGTATGATGATATTGTTGAAGATGACCGAAGGGTATACTCATTGGTTGATATCGTGATGATATCAACCCACCAATCGCTGCTGGACGCGCGCAATGGGTGGTGAGTAGACTTCATCATACACTTAGTTAGATCAATACAATTAAGTCAAGACAAACAGAGATACAAGATTGATAGGACTTAGTTATATTTATTTCAGTTTTACTTTTTCTACGACTTGAGTCTTTCACCTAAGTCGTTCTACCTTCCTCTGTGTAGTTCTACACCTAGCTGGGCACTGACTATCTCTACAGTCAGTGATAGTAAACTCCGTACTGGTTGACCAGTATGTAGTTGTCGGTGCCCCGTTAAAGTTCCTGTTCCCGAAAGCGCATCCGTGTTTCACCGTTCGGATCTGCGAATCTACAACTCGAAACAAGTGCTGGCGGAATACATTAACCTGATCGTACAGATGGACATCACTGGTTTTACGATCGAGTGAGCGGCAACGCGCTGCAGGTCAAAGTATATATTAGCAGAAGCAGGGATGGTGACCTACTGCGTGAGATGTGCAGGCAAGATAGACGCTGGGAGATTTTTCTCGTCAGGCGATGGGTTCTTGTATGCGTTGGAATAGAGTAGCCAGGAGCCGTTATTTACGTAAAAACATTGTGAATGCGCAAGTTCGATTGGCTATGAAGAGCTAACCAACAATTTTGCCCAGCTACAAGAAAACTGTCTCAAAAAGAAGCGTTTACTTTGTCGATATGCCTACCAGATCCAAGCAGTCCTACCCCTCTGAAGACTGTAATGTTCCGACAAAATAGCGCGTGAGAGCGTCTCAGTCTTCATAGCTCGAGGAGTTCTCGCTAGATAACGTTGGGGACAACACCAAGACCGCTGCTGTAACATGGCACACCCTTGCGAGAACTTACCGCAAGGGTGTCGGTGCCCCGACAGACGTACACGAAGCAAACGAGGAAGCGTAGATAAGGTAAAAGTAAAACTGTTGTATTAATATAATTAAGTCTTTTGTTACTGTCTCTCTGTTTAACCTGACTTAATTATACTAATCTAACTGAGTGTACGGTGACGTCTCGTCACCACTCATTGCGCGCGTCTTGCGGCGATTGGTGGGTTGATATCATCAAGATATCAACCAATGAACAGACTCTTTGGTCGCTTCACCAATATCACCACTCCCGGTGATATTGTTAGAAGAATATTAAACTTAATATTCTTTATTGTCATTATCTCTTCAAATGACAATTCCATGTAACGTGCTGCCTGGTTACATCACCCCCCCTTAATTGATAGTCACCGTGTGACTATCGAAAATATGGCGGCCACCCGTTGGCCACCATTGGGACATGGAGCACTTGTTGGGTCCGTTCCATTCACTTTCCGCTTGACCTCGCATAGTTAACATGTCTATGCGAGGTGACTCAAGACCCGCGCAGCCCGGTGCTGTGCCAGCCTCTGCGACAGACGATTCGTCGTCTGCTGCTCCTTCTTCGCCTGCAGCAAGAGATGCTGCAGGTGCACGCGGCACCACACCGCGTGCGCATGATGACCCCGACATTGAGGTCATCTACTCTGGCGAGTCAGACGTTTCTGACTCGGGCAATGCTTCAGAGGCGTCACGATCACCGGCGACGCCTCAGTATTCTCCGAGGCCACTGCCGAATGAACGGACTCGTGAGTTGCATCACAGTCTGTTCGGCAGTGATGATGATGATCAGGGGTGTGAGGAGCATTACTCCTTAACACCGCCGACTCGTGTCTCTTCTCACGAGCGTGATGACGATGGCGCGAGCCATCGTCATACTGACAACCGGTGTACCGACAGAAGCGTGATGAGGTCAAGCCGTGGCGTTTGCCCGAACGGGTCACCAAAAGCTTGTCTCACGAGACAAGCCAACACCATCGAATACCCTTATTCGATGCGACTGAGCTTCACGGCTTGAGTTCCAGCGCGAAGAACTTTCGCGCTGAAGAAGAGTTTTATCTCGATGTTTTTCTTGGATATCGGTGGTATAACAGCAATCAAAAGCGTGACAAGGCCTCGCTTTGGTTGCGTGGAACGCGTTCGTCCAAAACGTAAATAATTTTGGACGAGAAGGGTGGCTCAAGAAACGTGAGGCGGTACGCCTCAGGTTCGAAAGGTGAACGCCAACCGGTGCAAGGTACCGGTTGCACTGTTTGTCGAGCGAGGCAGACATTCCTTGCCTTTCATGGGGAGACCCTTGTGAGAGTTCTGTTGACAACTCGCAGCGTGCACATAGGGACGTGTATTCCCTAAGTTCGCCCTGGGGAAGGGCACACATCTCGGCTGAGATGCGTGACGTGATTGCAAACTTGCAATCCGTCTACAAGTGCCTAGGGCGCGTGTTTACCGATGGTTTCTCGGACCAATCGGATAAGTCTCGTCATACTGGCGGACGAGACCTTCAACATCTATCAACAGCTGAGAGCGGGGCTCCCAGCTGTTCCAAGAGGGTGGAAACCCCCTCCACTGGACGAGGTAGCTCGTACTTGATCCTGAATCGTCACGGTGGTTCAAGATACGCTCCACTAGAAAGCGTTGACCACCGTGAGCATCCACCAAAGGATGTGGTGGAGGAGGAAAGACCTCCCTCAGAACCCCAGGCCCACCATCTCGACCCTTACGAGATGGATCGCGCAATCGATGAGTTGCGCGATAACTTGAAGCACGAGCGCGACCGGCGCTACGCTTTGACTGATACCGTGCGGAAGAACCGCAAAGATCGCGAGGCTGATCGGGCAAAGGATCGCGCCGGTTACGCCACAGAGCAGCTTCAGGTCGAGCGGGATGTCCGCTCCCTTTCTGGCGAGCTGGAGACAGCTCGCGGGGAGATATCTCGGTTGAGTTCCGAGGTATCTTATCTGCGCGACCAGACGGATCGTCTGGAGCGCGAACGCAAGAACTTGATGGATGTTCTTGAACGCGGGGGCTATCTTCATCGGAAGAAGAAGGCTCGTACCGACAGTACGGTCTGAGTCGCCCTACGTAAAACGTAGGATGCGTGCGGATCCTGCGAGGCAACTCAATCGTGTATGCATTGCCCTTGCAATGCAACACTCGAAATGGCCCAACGTACTTCGGCAGTAGTACACTACTGCCGACACAAGTGAATACATGTCCAGGTAAGTTTACCGTAGACAGTAATACTAAGTCGTTAATCTTAAATGGAAGAACATTTGCTCTTCCATTCTTGTATGCGTTCCGTTTCTGGCGGTCCACCGCGTTTGCGATGGAGTACTGAACGAAACGGACTATCTCCTCTCGAGTCAGGAGGAAGTTCTATGCTGACTCGTTGTTGTGTTTTTCAGTGCGCTTCGTGCGCACTGCTAAGAGATTGTTCTCTTCTACAGCGAGGTTGTACTCTTCCTCGCTCGAATGGTCGTTGACGAAGCTGAATATTCCAGCATCGTCATCATTGCCTGATGTAGCAGCAGCTCCATTGCTACTGCTAAGATCAGCTTCTTAGATGTAGACATTATCGACATCGACATCGAACGTATCGGCATGTGCAATGACACGTGATGAGCAAGAGCCAAAACGGTTTTTGCTCGAGCGAGTCCCTCCCCTTCTTATCCAAGAGTCACACTCTACAAGGACGGGTACACGTGGATGGCGTAAACCATTCACGTTAAACGGTGTGTGCAGTGATGAGGCATGCAGAAAATTATTGATCGCGAATTCCACCATGGGTAGGAATTCTCTCCAACTCGTAAACGAGTGGACATATCCTCGAAGTATCTCTTCGAGGACACGGTTCGCACGTTCCGTCTGACCATCTGTTTCGGGATGGTCAGAAGTAGACATCTTAAATCGTGTTCCAAGAGAACGAAACACGGTTTGCCAAAATGACGCCGTGAACCGAGGGTCACGGTCGGATACGAGCTCACGGAGTATCCCGTGGAGTCTAAAGACCGTGTCGAGAAAGACACGAGCACAACCTTGAGTCTTGATCGACTCAGGTACAGCAGCAAGATGCACCACCTTGCTGAAACAAACCACGAACACAAGAATACCATTATTCTTGTGAGCGTCTTCGGAAAAACCGAAGACGAAGTCCATTGAAACGGACTGGCGGCACTCTTCCGGGACCGGTAGAGGCTGTAATGGTACACGGGATTGAGGAATAGGCTTCACCCGTTGACAAACCTCGCAAGAACGAATGTACTTGCGTACAAGCTGATTCTGGCGGGGCATGTAAAAGTCACGACTTACCGTGAGGTAAGTCTTTTCTCTACCACAATGGCCGCCTGTTGGGGCATCGCGACACTCATACATGATGCGTAAACGCAAATCACGATGAGCGGGTACGACGACACGAGGCGTGTCGCCGTCAACAGCTGTATAGTACAGCAATCCGTTGCGTGTAATATACCGATCCGATGAGGATCGGTACAAAGCCGGTAAATCCCTCATTGATTTACCGCATGGATTCACCAGATGACCCATCAATCGCAGAAGATCATTATCTTCTGCGTATGCCTTTCGTACGTCGTCAAGTTTACTTGACGACGGGACACTGACTGACAGTGTCGCAACAGTGGGCTTATCCTCACTGTTTAGTTGCGCGTCCGGCTCGAAATCTGGCCGGCGCGAGAGCAAATCAGCGACGACGTTTAGTCGTCCTGGTTTATACTCCACGTAGAAGTTATACTCCGCGAAGAAAGACAGCCACCTCGCCATTCGTTGCGAGAGGTGTGGGCTGGTTACGGCCGTGCGTAATGAAGCATGGTCCGTATATACGATGAACGGTCTATCTCCCAATAGATAGACCCGGAACTTAGCCAGTGCGTACTTCATGGCAAGGCGTTCCTTGTCATACACTGGGTAATTGCGCTCAGCTGCTTGCAGCTGACGCGACTGATAACAGACGACGCGCTCTGCGCCATCTGTGTCGTATTGCATCAACGCACAGCCGATTGCAAAATCGCTGGCGTCACAGACCACATGAAAAGGTCTGTCCTGATCTGCAATCGCCAATATCGGCGACTGCATCAAGCTCCGCTTGATACTTTCAAAGGAGCGCTGGCACTCAGCGTTCCATGACCACTTGACATTTTTCTTGAGTAAACAAAAAAGATGTACCGTCATTTCGGCGTAGTTGCGGGAGTACTTATGCAAGTACGCCGCTAGTCCAAATAACTTCCTTAGTCCCTTGATATCGACTGGCACTGACCAGTCGGTGATCGCCTTGATCTTTTCGGGATCAGAGCGTACGCCGCGTTTACCCACGATGCACCCAAGAAGTGGTATTTCGCTAGCCGCGAAGATACACTTCTTGAGATTGACATACAACTTATGCTTGCGCATAAGTTACAGAACCTGATGAACGTGAGTTCTGTGAACTTCAACGTCCGTCTTTCCGTCCATTGCCCGGCTATGGACGAACACATCGTCGAATTAACTCGGTGATAAATCCGCACCGGTTTCAACAGATTTGTAACACATCTGTCAAATGTTGCAGGGGCATTGCTCAGCCCCTGTGGCATCACTAGCCACTCCCACAGCATCCAGCTGAGAGTGCTCACTGCTGTGTACGGGATGTCCCGTTTACGAATGAGGATCTGATCGAATCCGTCCATAAGATACATGGAAGAAAAGATGGTACTCTGTGACATACCATCTATGATGACGTCCTTCCTCGGTATCGTCGTCTGAGCCGGTACCGTTGCAGCATTCAATTTGTTGAATGCGTGCACTATACGCTATACCTCTGTGACCTTTTGCACACAGAAGGTCGGAGAGCTGTGAGGGGAAATTGATTCCCTCACATGACCCGCTGCTAAGCGATCGGCAAAGAACTTGTCGATCGCTAGAACTTGTCACGAGGCAGTGGCCACTGCTTCATGACACAGTACTTCGAGCCCGGTTTGAGCTCGATCTCGTGTCGAGTGCCTTTGTCCTTAGGAAACTAGAATGGCACGGATCCAGGGAGTACATCCTTGAATTCGATCAAATCCTTATACAAAGGATAGGCCTGTAGCGACTCCCAGGATTGAGATTCATATCTCTTAATCCGAGTCTTCTCATCGAGGACACTTTCGTCCATTGATGAGCTGCTGAGACCCGTCTCAGTCTCAGCAAACACTGTTGCCGGCAAAATGTTGGCCAAATACTAATCCTCTGTGACGAGTATGCAAATCTGCTTGACTTTGCCACTACGCAGATCACGCAAGAACCGTTTCGGTTCTAGCGTTGGCAACTGAGTTATCTCCGAATTTAATTTCGGAGGCACATCCAGATCAAGCGTATAAGCGCCTACGCTTGATCCGTCATTAACCAAGACATTCACTGTCTCGTTTTCTTCCTGGGAACTTGCTTCCACAGGTTGCTGAGGGCCTGATCCTTCATCAAGTGAATCTTGAGGAATTCCTTTCTCAAGTACGTGGGGACTTATTCCCTCGACGTCTTCTGACTGTGGCTGTGCAACCACAGTAAGGAACCGATCCTCTACGGTCGACTCTCCAGTCGACCTAGGATTTCCATGTTGCCCTTTGGAGGCAACATGTTTCTTCTGTATAAGATGCTGCCCGCTAGGCATACATCCATGTCCCGGTCCACTCGACTTATTCGAGTGGTGGACCTTCGGCTCCGCCTGTACTGCTGTACAGCCGCCGGGAGCTTGTTCCACAGTGTAGTGATCAACTACACTGTGATCTTGTGCAGTCGTGCGAACGACCGAACCGCAAGTGAGGCCATCTCACTCACTCGTAGAACATCCACACGCTTGTGGACGCTCCAAGATGTTCATCAGATGGCCATATGATGAACAAGCGGCAGGCATCTTCACGGATCGATGCTGCCAGCTCACTCTTGGCTCGTATCTTCTGAGCCAAGGTAATCCCAGGATGACATCAAATTTGTCATCCAAATCCAGTACGATGAAGTCATCATCGTACAGTTCGCCCTCCAACATGTAGTTCATTCTTTCTACACGTTTCTCGACGGTAATCGATGCGCCTGTTGCAAGGCGTACCGTCATTCTCGTGAGGGGGAATGCCGCGCTCAACAAACTTGAGCCTACGACCCTCTAGTGACTGGCGACGAACAAAGTTGTTCGACGCCCCACAGTCTACTAAGGCACGAAGCGACAAATCATTTGTCGCTTCCAACTTCAAGGTGATGAGCGAAACGTCATCACCAGGTGCAGAGACACACAATGATTGTGTATCTGGAGCAACTATCGTCAAGATATTTGCAAATTCTCTTGAGGTTGCTAAATCAGTAGAGAGGTCCGCCCCTACTGACCCCGACCATTTTTTGATGGTCCGTTCCGCTGCTGCAGCTTCGCAACAGCGCTGGACCCACGCCAATTGCCCTTCTTGGCGAATGGTCGTCCATTTCGCTCAGTACTGTTTGGTACTGGGCGTGGAGCACTAAACTCATGTGCGAAGTGCCCTAACTTCTGACAGCGATTGCTCTTCTGCCATCGATTGTTGTTTGAAGAGCGAGGTCTCTCGCTCTCAACATAGCAGAGGTCCATTGGTTCTGGACCTCCGATCTCTTGTCGTCTAGGTGGACGATAAGTGTTTATGATAGCATGAGCCTGTCTCATGCTAAAGTCTTCCTGTTCCGCGGCCTATATCGCCTCTTTCAGCGTATTCAGCTCAAGGCGGATCAGGTGGCTCCTGACGGGCCCTTCTGCGAGCCCTTGCATGAAAACCGTAATCAACGTGTGTTCATGAACTGGATTAGCAGTTATACTACTCGCGAGGAGTCGTAAATGTTGAGCGTAAGCGTGCACATCACGCTTACCCTGCTTAAGTTTCAGGAGCTCTGAACGAGCCCTGAACTCAGCCCGTGGCGGCTCAAACGTTTGTCTGAGCCGGGACTTAAAGTCATCTAGCGACCTATACACATGTGGGTTGCTACTCTCGTGCCCCAGGGAACAAGTTTTGGCACGTCCTGCCAAGTGGGTTTGAGCAAATGTGAGTTTCATTTGCTCATCTTCGACGCGACGAGCCCTTAAGGCTCTGTCGAGTTCGAGAAACCACAGTAACAGGGAGTCTTCCGGGACTCCACTGTACTTGTAGATGTCAACTTCCATGACTTCAAGACGACGCGCATGTGCCGTCCCGCCCACAGCAGCATGGAATTGCTGCTGTCTCAACAGCTCTGTCTGTTGAGCACCGAGTTCTCTCAACTGCTCGGCCTGTTGAGAGCCTTGCTGGTGAAGCAAGGCTACTTTTTCCCTTTCGGCGACAAGTTCATTTGAATGAACTTGGCTACAGCGGCATGTTGTTGGTCTCTGTCTAGAGATTCCAACATGGCGCTAATGGCGAACTCGCCTACGGTATAACTCATGCGTTCTACCGCCCTCTATTCGATGTCACTCAAATCCTTAAACCCTTCACGCGTGGTGTGAAAGGTTTCTTCATCATCCAACATGTTCATGTTGGATGTTGTGGTCCTTGGAAGGACTACAAAGTGCTACTAGGTGTAACGGGGCAAACCCTTGCGTGAACTTAACGCAAGGGTTTTGGTGCCCCGACAGACGTACACGAGGCAAACGAGGAAGCGTAGATAAGGTAAAAGTAAAACTGTTGTATTAATATAATTAAGTCTTTTTGCTAATGTCTCTCTGTTTAACCTGACTTAATTATGTTAATCTAACTGAGTGTATGGTGACGTCTCGTCACCACTTATTGCGCGCGTCTTGCGGCGATTGGTGGGTTGATATCATCAAGATATCAACCAATGAACAGACTCTTTGGTCAACCCATCAATATCACCACTCCCGGTGATATTGTTAAAAGAATATTAAAACTTAATATTCTATGTTGTCATTATCTCTTCAAATGACAATTTCCATGTAACGGGCTGCCCCGTTACAACTGCTATTGCTGCTCACCTACCGAAGCCCGCTCTTACCAAGATGTTTGATCAAGACGCGACGATTTTGTATCTCACATCCGACCACAAAAGCTGGGTTCACGTCTTGCGCTAACATATCTATGAGCACGCCAAGCTCGATGATCTCCGTTCAGCAGGTGTGGAAAAGTTGTCATTGACGTGGTCGACTACGTTTCAACAGGCATGGACAGCACACCCAGAGAAGCACAATACTATCACGATGTTTGGCAAAAAGATAAAGCTTCCGCGATTTCAGCAGCTGTGCGGGGAAGTAGGAAGTTACCGGTGCTCTGGCAAAATTTTGACGGCCAAGAAATGTATCCACGGGGATTAAGACACGCTGTTGAGCACATGCAGAGAATTGTAAAAGATCCTGCCACGTAGCAGACACGGCTCACTAGAGGTCTCGTGAACTAGTACGAGAACGGAAACCACTACATTGGACCACATACTGACGACGAACGTGATATGATGGTGGGCTCTCCTATCGTGGCCTTGTCGCTAGGAGCGACTCGGCGCTTTGTGTTACAAAAACAACACCAGAGAACGCTTCTGGAGACGACGAGGCTGTGGCGCGACTTGAGTTGCAGGTCGGAGATGGCGATCTGATGATCATGGGTGGCACGATGCAACGAACGCATAAACATGCGGTTCGCAAGATGGCTAGATGTCGTGAGGCGAGGATGAGTGTTACCTTTCGTTGCTTCCCCTGAAACCTGATCTACAATTTTTCAGATAATTATGCGTAAAAGCGTACACCAATATTCATGATGGTTGCCGCGTTTCGCTGTGTGGTATCTCGGAATATGCATCAGAGACCTAGCGTCACGGTGAGTCGATAAAAGCTCGGAGAAACCTAGTGTCACTGGAGTTGTAACATGGGAGCGGCGTTGGGGCTATTAGCGCTGTGAACCATTTCTTGATTACTTGCTGAAGTAGACAAGAAAGTTGTTGCATTTGCTAGACAACAGTTTTTAGTCGGTAAATGTCGAAGCATTCTGTGGTCGTAGTCGGACAAGTAACCTTGGCGCAACCTTGACCATGCTCGTTTCGAACGACGGTGAAAACCTTGAACACTTGCGCTCATTCAACACAACGCAAACATTGCTCAAGCATCTTGCGCAAGTGAATCTGATTTGCTTTACCAGTCCAGCAAGCGCACTTCGCCGACTTTCGACATCGGATGCGCGTGGGAACAGCATCGTGCTCATTTTTGCCTCTCGAGCATGCAAACAATGGGTTGAAAACGCGCACCTGTAGCGAAGTCAAATTAGTTTTGTACCAAGGCTCGTACAACGTGCAAATGTGAGGCGACTTTGGCACAGGATCGATAGAGGATTATCGCACGTAGGAGGGCCGAAGAGTAAAAGGAAGAGGACAAAGCACGACAAGCAAGGGCCGAAGCAGAAAAGCGACAGAGTGTGTATTTTCTCGTTTCCATTACTATCCTGAGGCCCGTACAAGTGGCTTGGCTAATCGGTAGCGAGTGTGTGCCTCGATAAGAAACTCCGTGTGAGCGAGAGGGTGATGTATATTTAGTGACCTGGGTGTTCCAACATAGTCAGAACAATATCCTTGTAGTCATCTGCTATAGCCTTTGCAATGGCCTCTACGTCCTTGCCACCACCCTTCTTCACCATGGCTTCAACATCTTCCGGATCAATTCCGTTTCGAATCCACCAAGTGTACTCCACCATCTGCAAACCATCCCAGTAATTGTAATCTGGTTCCGACAACTTTTCTTGCAGTTTTTTGTGGACGACTTGCGCTGCCTCCGATTCGCTTTTCCCATCCCCCAAAAACTTGCGAAAGTCATCCTTCATCTTTTTGAACTCCTCACGCTTTCGAACATCAGTCCATATTTTTTTGAAACCTTCATCTTTGCGCAGCTTGTCCACTAGTTTCGTATGGTCTTTGCCTGGTGCGATAGGAGGTTTGCCTGGCGCGGTAGGAGGTTTGCCTGGCGCGGTAGGAGGTTTGCCTGGCGCGATAGGAGGTTTGCCCCGTATGATAGGAGGTATGCCTGGTGTGATGAGAGGTTCGCCTGGTGTGATGGGAGGATCGCCCGGCGGGACGAATCGGTGGTCGTCAACGGCTGGTGCGATTTGGTCGTAGCGGGCGATGACGTCAGCATCGTGCTTCATGCCTGCAGTCTTGGTGGTACTTGACTTGAAGAAGGGGGCGTATAAGCTGGCAAGCATAGTCTTCGCCGACTTGAGCAGTTTCATCAGTTTTGCAGCGAGGCTTTCGATGTAGAACGCCCGTTCTTCGTGTGGTTTCCAGACGTGAGAAGCCGTTCTCTGAAACTCTGTCACACTCGTATGTTCAGCTAGGTCAGCATCAGGAGCTGAAGGGTCCTCGAGGCCTGACGCGCGATCAGCCACGACGACCATCACACCACTCACAATGAGCGCAATGAGGCAGAAGGAGCGCATGGCCCCCTTCGAGTTATTTCAGACAGGAGTCCGGCAATGGAGCGCAAAACTGAAAATGAACAGATTCTACGGTTGATCTGCGGCACAGGAAGATGCCCGCTCGGTATTGCAGCTGCAAAGTTTGCTCATCATTCGACGATATCCAGATAAGGACCAGACGATAACTGGAACACGGTCAGATGCACGCCCATACTACGGCTGGACGACGATCACAAGTAGCGAGGAAGTCCATGCACGTGCATCACATTGCCAAGCGCATCGAAGGTACGACGCTCCTCGACGCGTGTGGGTGAGCTCATCAATCCCACGTCAACAGGAACGACGACGTGTGTGAAGCAGACGGAGGCCGCTTGCACGCTCCAGGAGACGACGACTGGACCAGTTGGCCCTATTTAGAGGAGCCGCGTCGCAGCCGCATCTTTATCCGAGAAAGGGTAGGGTGCGGATACACTGCGGAAAGATTCGTCCGATAATCCCTCCCAATCCCTTGCATCAGATTTCCTGAGCTTTCTAGATATCCACATGGTCAGAATATCTGATCTGATCGACACTCCAAGAAGGTTCCCGAACCGGATGAAGATCCGGAGCATTTAGGTACCGACTTGACCGCCCACCCTCTCGACAGATCAGGTTTTTGTACCAGACAGACATCTCCGGTTGTAGTATCCGCTGTGCTCAACGGGACATGCCGACGATAAGTGTGGTGAGCTTTGTTTACCTCAGTCGACTCATGCGAGTACCTCTGTGATGGGATGCGCCGGAATTTCAGTGATGGAAACTGGCGGACATTCAGGCTTTGTGAGTCCCACCTACAGCAGCTTAGCAAAAAAGAGGTCTCAGATAGAAACAGCATTATCGGTTGTTTTCTAACGTGAGGTAGAAATCTAAACACGAATATTGAGCGAAGAGATTGATTCGGATGATCCGATGGGCTCATAAGAGTATATTTGCACCCCTAATGACCCTCTCTAAACGGATTTAAATAGGCTGCTCAATAAACCACCATCGACTGATTATAATTCATGTGGAAGGTAAATCGTCCATTGGAGATGTACACCATCTTGCTGATTCGGTCAACGAACACAAGAATACCATTATTCTTGTAAGCGTCTTCGAAAAAACCGAAGACGAAGATCATTGGAACGGGATGCCAGCACTCTACCGGAACTGGTAGAAATTGCAAAGGCGCACGGGAAGAAAGACTGGGCTTCACCCGTTGACAAACCTCGCAAGAACGAATGTACTTGCGCACAAACTGATACTAGCGCGGACAGAAAAAGTCACGACTTCCCGTAAGGTAAGCCTTTTCCGTCCACGATGCCCGATTGTTGGGGCATCGTGACATTATACATGAGGCGTAAGCACAATCATTACAAGTGGGGACGAAGACATGAAGTGTGTCGCCGGCAACGGCCTAATACTACAGCAAGTCGTTTCGAGTCGCGTACTGATCCAAAGAGGAACGCTATAAGGTCGGCAAATCCGACAAGGATTTGCGGGATAGGTCTGCACGATGACCCATAAACGTAGAAGATCCTTGTATCCTGCGTACGCCATCCGCACGTCATCAAGTAAGGGCGATGACGTAACACTGACTGACATTGTCGCAACAGTGGACAAGGACTCACTGTTTGCGCGTGTTGTCGGCTTGAAATCGGACCGACGTAATAGCGCATCAGCGACGACGTTGCGTCGCCCTGCTTTGTACTCCACGTAGTAGTTATACTCCCCGAAGAAAGACAGCCACCTCGCCATTCGTTGCGAGAGGTGGCGACTGTTTAAGGCCGTGCGCACTGACGCATGGTCCGTATATACGATGAACGGTCTATCTCCCAAGAGATAGACGCGAAACTTAGCCAGTGCATATTTCATGGCAAGGCGTTCCTTGTCATGCACTGGGTAATTACGCTCAGCTGCTTGCAGCTGACGCTATTGATAGCAGACGACGCGCTCTGCGTCGTCTGTGTTGTATTGCATCAACGCACAGCCGATAGCAAAATCGCTGGCGTCACAGACCACATGAAAAGGTCTGTCCTGATCTGCAATCGACAAGATGGGCGATTGCATAAAGCTTTGCTTTATACCCTCACAGGAACGCTGACAGTCAGCGTTCCGTGACCACTTCACATCTTTCTTGAGCAAGCAAGAAAGATGAACAGTCATCTTGGCGTAATTGCGCGAATACTTGTGCAAGTACGCCGATAAGCCAAGGAGCTTTTGCAGTCCCTTGATATCGACTGGCACTGGCCAGTCGGTGATCGCCTTGACATTTTCGGGATCAGGGCGTACGCCGTGTTTGCCGACGATGCACCCAAGAAGTGGTATTTCGCTAGCCGCGAAGATACACTTCTTGAGATTGACATAAAACTTATGCTTGCGCATAAGTTACAGAACCTGACGAATATGAGTTTTATGAACCTCAATATCCGTCTTTCCGTCCATAGCTCGGCTATGGACGAACACATCGTCGAATTAACTCGGTGATAAATCCCGCACCGGTTTCAACAGATTTGTAACACATCTGTTGAATGTTGCAGGGGCATTGCTCAGCCCTTGTGGCGTCGCTATCCACTCCCACAGTATACAGCTGGGAGTGCTCACTGCTGTGTACGGTATATCTCGTTCACGCATGAGGACCTGATAGAAGCCATTCATCCGATCCATGGACGAAAAGATGGTACTCTTTGACATACCATCTATGATGACGTCCTTCCTCCGTATTGGCATCTTAGCCGGTACCGTTGAAGTAATTAACTTTTTGAATGCATCCACTATCCGCCATCCTCCTGTGGCCTTTCGCACACAGAAGGTCGGAGAGCTGTGAGGGGAAATTGATTCCCTCACATGACCTGCTGCTAAGCGATCGGCAACGAACTTGTCGATCGCTAGAACTTGTCACGAGGCAGTGGCCACTGCTTCATGACACAGTACTTCGAGCCCGGTTTGAGCTCGATCTCGTGTCGAGTGCCTTTGTCCTTAGGAAACTAGAATGGCACGGATCCAGGGAGTACATCCTTGAATTCGATCAAATCCTTATACAAAGGATAGGCCTGTAGCGACTCCCAGGATTGAGATTCATATCTCTTAATCCGAGTCTTCTCATCGATGACGCTTTCGTCCATTGATGAACTGCTGAGACCCGTCTCAGTCTCAGCAAACACTGTTGCCGGCAAAATGTTGGCCAAATACTAATCCTCTGTGACGAGTATGCAAATCTGCTTGACTTTGCCACTACGCAGATCACGCAAGAACCGTTTCGGTTCTAGCGTTGGCAACTGAGTTATCTCCGAATTTAACTTCGGAGGCACATCCAGATCAAGCGTATAAGCGCCTACGCTTGATCCGTCATTAACCAAGACATTCAACGTCTCGGTTTCTTCCTGGGAACTTGCTTCCACAGGTTGCTGAGGGCCTGATCCTTCATCAAGTGAATCTTGAGGAATTCCTTTCTCAAGTACGTGGGGAATTATTCCCTCGACGTCTTCTGACTGTGGCTGTGCAACCACAGTAAGGAACCGATCCTCTACGGTCGACTCTCCAGTCGACCTAGGATTTCCATGTTGCCCTTTGGAGGCAACATGTTTCTTCTGTATAAGATGCTGCCCGCTAGGCATACATCCATGTCCCGTTCCACTCGACTTATTCGAGTGGTGGACCTTCGGCTCCGCCTGTACTGCTGTACAGCCGCCGGGAGCTTGTTCCACAGTGTAGTGATCAACTACACTGTGATCTTGTGCAGTCGTGCGAACGACCGAACCGCAAGTGAGGCCATCTCACTCACTCGTAGAACATCCACACGCTTGTGGACGCTCCAAGATGTTCATCAGATGGCCATATGATGAACAAGCGGCAGGCATCTTCACGGATCGATGCTGCCAGCTCACTCTTGGCTCGTATCTTCTGAGCCAAGGTAATCCCAGGATGACATCAAATTTGTCATCCAAATCCAGTACGATGAAGTCATCATCGTACAGTTCGCCCTCCAACATGTAGTTCATTCTTTCTACACGTTTCTCGAAGGTAATCGATGCGCCTATTGCAAGGCGTACCGTCATCCTCGTGAGGGGAATGTCGCGCTCAACAAACTTGAGCCTACGACCCTCTAGTGACTGGCGACGAACAAAGTTGTTCGACGCCCCACAGTCTACTAAGGCACGAAGCGACAAATCATTTGTCGCTTCCAACTTCAAGGTGATGAGCGAAACGTCATCACCAGGTGCAGAGACACACAATGATTGTGTATCTGGAGCAACTATCGTCAAGAGATTTGCAAATTCTCTTGAGGTTGCTAAATCAGTAGAGAGGTCCGCCCCTACTGACCCCGACCATTTTTTGATGGTCCGTTCCGCTGCTGCAGCTTCGCAACAGCGCTGGACCCACGCCAATTGCCATTCTTGGCGAATGGTCGTCCATTTCGCTCAGTACTGTTTGGTACTGGGCGTGGGGAACTACACTCATATGCGTAGTGCCCTAACTTCTCACAGCGATTGCTCTTCTGCCATCGATTGTTGTTTGAAGAGCGAGGTCTCTCGCTCTCAACATAGCAGAGGTCCATTGGTTCTGGACCTCCGATCTCTTGTCGTCTCGGTGGACGATAAGAGTTTATGATAGCATGAGCCTGTCTCATGCTAAAGTCTTCCTGTTCCGCGGCCTATATCGCCTCTTTCAGCGTATTCAGCTCAAGGCGGATCAGGTGGCTCCTGACGGGCCCTTCTGCGAGCCCTTGCATGAAAACCGTAATCAACGTGTGTTCATGGACTGGGTTAGCAGTTATACTACTCGCGAGGAGTCGTATATGTTGAGCGTAAGCGTGCACATCACGCTTACCCTGCTTAAGTTTCAGGAGCTCTGAACGAGCCCTGAACTCAGCCCGTGGCGGCTCAAACGTTTGTCTGAGCCGGGACTTAAAGTCATCTAGCGACCTATACACATGTGGGTTGCTACTCTCGTGCCCCAGGGAACAAGTTTTGGCACGTCCTGCCAAGTGGGTTTGAGCAAAT